TACCATTGCCTTTTCAAGTTCTACCACCACTAAATCTTCATTTATAATGTGTCTATGTTTGTATGATGGTTTATTTACTAATTTCTGGAAGCGTTCAGGTGTATTGATTAGTCTGAAGTCATTGTGATTACGAACGTTTTCGAGTGTTTTTCCATATACAGCGTTATTTAATAATTTGAATAAATCTTTTTCAAATTCAGTTTTAGCATTCTTTCGTTTTTCGGTGTTGAAATCAATGTATGGTTTTAAAAAATCTGCTTGATTAAAACTAATTACCCTATGGACTTTCTTTAGTTTTAATCCATGCTCTAAATAAAACTTCAATGCTGATATATGTAATACATACTTTTTCTTATCCATAACATTTAATATTAGTTTATTTGTTTTTTCATCAGATGCATCTTTTCCATAATATTTTTTATGTATTTCTTTTTGAACTGGTGAAAGCATATTCTCACTAACACTCATAATTTCTGGTGCTAATGGATAATCTCTATGTAAATCATGTAATTCTTTTGGATTTTCTAAATCAACTTCTAAAATATAGCCTTTGTCATCATCATCGCTATAACTTAATACTTTCTTCTCATCCATCCTTGAAAAATACCAATTGAACTTATCAAACGGTAGTTTTTTACTCATTGCCAGACCATACAAGTTATTAGCATCTAAATAACTTATATAACTTGATGGTTTTGACAAGTCATATTGTTCATTCATGAATTTATTATTTGCTTCTACTTCTTTATGAGCACATTGAGTCATCCCGCCACGAAGACCTTTTTCAATCATTTCATACATGTCTTTATTATGTATTTGTTGAAGTCTAACACCAGTAAGAGATAAGAAGGCAGACCACGAATAATTAGGTAATGTTATGTAATGAGCAGGGTCTAAACCATAATAATTTAAGCACATATCCCTAAAGTTTTCAAAAACATCACTAAGCAAATAAACGTCTGTCATCAAATATAAATCATGGTATTCACCTAGGTTTTTGATATTGAAATTATCCCATATTACTTTTGCCCTTGTGTGTTGTGTATCTGTTATGCCTTCTTCATATAATTGACTGTAAAAGTCTTCTATACTTGGTAATTGCGATTCATTGAATTTATCAAATGAATTCATGTAGTCGTAAGGATAAACTCCTTTTTCAGTTAATAAGTCTAAATCGGTTTTATTTCTAATATATGGATTTGCTGATGAAAATCGGAAATTATCCTTCCAGTCATTCCGCTTTTTATATATAGGTTTATCATGTTCATCTTTACCTACTATGTCATATTTATTTAACTTAACTAATTTATCCAAAGATGCTGAGAGAAAAGCCATGCTATCTTTAAACTGTAATGAACCAAATGAAAATGTAATAAACTTTTCGCTATTTTGTGCTATTACATCTATTCTCTTATTTTCGTTCAATTCCTTATTTATTTCATTTGCTTTGCCTATTATTAAGTGAGAGTCATAGTTTTTTAAATTATGAAAAAATACTGGTATCTTGAAATATCTAAATGAATAATCCAAATTACATTTTTCGTGAGCACAACCTCTATAAATACCAGTAAAATGACAGTGATCACGAACTTTTGTATCTTCTGGTGTAAAATTCTTATTACATATTGAACATACAGTAGCTTTTCTAAATTCTGCTTCTTGTTCAACTGTAATATCCAGTGGTTGATTAACATTCATTTTATCAAAAATATATTTTTTAATTTCTCTTAATTTATTTACAAAGTGGTCTAAACAATCCTCTCCACGGTATAAATAAGGTTGGCTTGTATTATCAATAGAATTTACAACATTCAACATATAACCGCATGGTTTATGTTCCTGATACGTGCCCTTGATACCATTATTTGAATTTACAGTTATACACTCAAAATCTCCATAAACAACAAATGGACATTTTAATTTTGTATTGTATTTTTCAAATTCAATATAACTACCTTCTTTTGGTAATTTAAAATGTTGTCCATGTGTTGCCATACAACCAGTTTCATAATGTTTTGTTAATAAATCCTTTCTAGTAAAGGCATGAGAACAATAATGACAATAATGTTTTGGTTGGTCATTTTTGTTTGTTTGCCAGTTCATTAGACGACTTAGACTTTTAATAACTACATAATGATTATTATTATTGATTTCAATTTTCAAAAGGTTTATTTGATGTTTAGCATCTCTTGTTTTAGTTCTATAATCAATTATATTTTTTCCGTCATTAAAAGTATCATCAATTTCATAAACATTGATTGAAACTAGCTTACTATTATTTTCTTCAAACCTTTCAATATTCTTATTACCAGTTGGAAATTTAACACCTTCCCAGTTTAAGATATTGTCGTTTAATTTGTTGTAATGAAAAGTATGTTCTGGGTGACTTTTACTAATCTTATCAAATACTACTGATTGAATACAATACTTGAAACATTTATTATCTCTATTTTGAATATTGATACATGCTTTCTTATGTTTAATCCAATCTGGTAAGTCAATATAACTACCTGCCCTAGTAGGGTCATATTTGTCATAATGTAATGTGATTGATAATATCTTTATAAATTTTAAATTAGATGCTGAACCTTCTAACTTTTCTATGTTCAATAAAATCTCTTTGATTGATTTTTCAATTGCTTCATCCAAATCGGTTTCATTATATATGTTTGACCTTGTTGCAGGTAAATTATAAAGTATCTCTGTATGTTTTATTACTCCATCATCATCATAATAATGATAAAATAAACCTTCTGCCCTTATATTCAGTTTCATAGCTCTATTAGTTTTCAAAAAGGTTAAAAGTCTATCTTTTTGGTAGTGTATCATTGATAGTGCCTTTTCACCTTGAAAATGTTTATTTACTAGTTTTATAGAATTTTAGCATAACTTTTGAATGCTGATTGTTGGTCTGTTATTCTGAATTTGTTTTTTATAGCGTATTTTGTCATGGCATTTTTCAATCTTTGTTTAAGGTATGTTGAGCGAATTGTTTTTGTAGCATGACTATTATATTCATTGGTGTTTGCTACTGATTTTAATTTCTTGTTCAAAACATTCGAGATAGGTTTTTCTTTGTTGTATCTAAATTTCCTACCATCTACAATTATTGATTTTAATTCCTTGTTTCCTCTTTTTGGTATTTCCGCTTTGTCATTATTTAGTAGATAATCTATAACATGTTTCATAATACTATACTATATAATTTAATATATGTCTATTTCTTTAAGTTAATTTAACATATGAATTCTTACAATATACTTAAAGACATATTATTATATATAAATAACTATGTTTTCAGAACTTGAGGCGATAAAAGAAACACCGCATTTCCTAGTTCTTGACTTTGTTTGTGACAATTATTTAATATCATTTAATGAAAGTAATGTTGTTTATAAACAGGGAATGTATGCTAGATATAAAAAGTGGTGTAGTAAGAATAACAGAGCATGTATAACCTTTGATAAGTTTGATGAAGAGATAATGAAGAATAATGAAGTTAAATGTTTTACTCATTTTGGGAAAGATTATTATACAAATCTTATTTATGACCCAGAATAAGCATACATATTTATAACATTTATTTGGTTAAATGTTATAATTATTTTTTCTACTTAAAATCTACTTAAAGAAATATTGACTTAATATATTAAGATAGAAATGGTTGAATTTACTAAAAAAGAGCAAGAAGAAATTATTAATGACTTTTTGAATAAAATACAAGTTAATGACATTATCAGTAGTTGTAAATGTAAACTAATAAATGAAAAAGCTGGACTAACTAAGTTAAATTTACTTATTCCAATTGTTAAAAACATTTGTGATTTTAATTATGTTGAATGCGAGAAATGTGTTTTATTAAGAAATGCAAAGCAAGTTTTACATAAAAGTAATTTACATTCAACATTGAGACAATGTATTTATGATAAATACAAATTGGAATTTGAAGAAAATACATTTCTCAATGATGACTCATCATTAAGAACATATTGTTTTATAAAGTTAAATACATTTCCTACATATGAAAAAGTGAAAAAATATATACTGCAAGATAACGAAACATATATTTTAAAATTTTATAATGATATTAAATATTACTACGAAAAATCATATGAAGTTAGTTATGGTGGCAAAACTGGAACAACAAGACCAATTGAAGAATTTAATAATAAAATGATATTTAAATTTATTGATGAGTATGATTTATCAAATAATAAAATTGAAAATGATTGCAAGGAAACATTTTTAAACTACAAAGAAACCAAGAATTGAAAATCATAATTGATAAAATATGTGATTATATTAAGGATGAACAGAAGAACAATACAATAGGTAAATTAATATATGGTGATGTGATAAATGATATTAAAAGTGTTTTAGGAAACTGGGGCATAGATTTTTGCATTTATGATTTTGCTGATAGAAAATATCCATTTAAAAATAATAAACAGAACTTTAAACAAATACCAAAGATTACAAAGGAATATTTAAATACTAATGACTTTGATTAAAACCATACTATAATAATAACATGTAAAATTTTATATGTTATAATTATACTGTACTTATAGTTTGTAAAGATTGAAATATTTTATTTTTTCTTGATTTGGCTGACTCTTTCAAAGTGCGTTGTTTGAACTTGGTATGCTCTTTTGTTTTTTTCGTGCTTTGGCTGTTTGTATTTTATTTTGTTTGATACTCTTCTGATATTTTTTGTTGGTATGTTGCTTTGAAATTTGTTGATGTGTGTTTTTGAGTTTGGGTTCTTTGATGGTTTTTATTTTTACTGTTTTGTTGGTATGCTTGTTTGAATTATTTAATGTTTTATGCTTTGATTAAATATTTTGTTGGGGGCTGTTCTGGTTTTTGAGTTGCTTGGTGGTTCTTATCTTGTTTTCTGTGAATTTTGCTGATTTGTGTTTATGCTGTTTGATTATTTGGTTTTATTCTTTGAAATGCCCTTTTTACTATTTTTCCCCTCCCCCCCCCCCCCAAAACGCCTTGCGAATCCCTCAAGGGCACGAAGCCCCGCTGGGTCCGCAGCCAGCCCGACTCCACGTGGCCCAACACCGTGGCATCCTCGAGGTCCTGGCTCACAGCAGCTGTGCCAATCGACTCTCGCAGTGGTCTTCGATGGATTTGTCCCTTAGATGTCCATTGATGTCTTGTTCAGATTTCCCATTTGTCCCTTGGTTGCTCCTTGCTTTCACTCATCCAGCTTCTTCTCTCTTTCTCGCTCTCTCTCTCTCTCTCTCTCTCTCGCTCTCACAGGTGAGAAAGCAATTGAGTGAGAGATATAAAGGTGAATCGCTGATAGAAAGGGAAAGGCCACGCCAACCAGGAACACAACTATCTCTTCCCCTTTCACTCGACTTCTTGCTCCCTCTTCACTCTCCTATCCTTCTTTCTCCTTTCGTTGAACATCCCTACCAGACGACTTCTGTTCCCCTTCCATCTGCTTTCTCCTTCCATTGAAGGTGAGAAAGAACTGGGCGATGCCCAAAACCACGACTTGTTTCGCTCCCTTTTCACTCACCTATAGTAACTGGGCGATGCCCAGGGGTACCCCTTTTCACTCACCTTCTAGTGAAGAGTTGGAAGGGAGAGACTTAGTTGCTGTTGACGCCCCTGCAAAAAGTGAACAACTTTTCAGGGGTTTAGTGGAAAACCCAACTTGATTTCAACCAAAAAGTTAAAGTCTAAAGATCCAACCCAATAGCAGTCAACAGGAATCTTTACAGTATACACCTGAACATTGCCAATGGTGGTTTCCCTTCATTTTGGTGGAAAAAGCCATGTTTCAAATGGGCAAAATGGAGATCTTTTAAGGAGCCCTGGTGGAGAGACCATCCCCTCCCTCCGCGCCTTGACCTTGCTGCTCCAGGACTTCTCGCTGCACAAGGGCGCCTTGCTGTTGACCCGCCACTCCACGCTGGGCCTCAGGGGCTCCGCGTTTCTTGGTTGACTTTGGAAGGGGAGCAAACATTCGAATTTTAGCAGTCAAGTGGTTGGATTTCAACCACGAAACCACAACAAGCAAAGATGTGTCCAATGTTTCCCAAGAACAACCATGGTTTTGAGGGTCTCTCGAAACCTCCAATTTTTCTTGCTGCCTGAGTCGATGGGCCACAAGACGGGCCCAAACTTCTTACTTACCACTAATACTGGTCTAAGCCAAGAAAGTTTAAGGTCCATGATCTCAGGAAGTGAGGTTTCTGAGGGTGGCCTTGTGGGTTGGAGGGAAAGGAAACCACCGATTTTGAGACAAGTGCTGATCAAGACCGGGTGCCGGTGTCACAAATGACCGACATCTTGCAAGCAAGCAGCACCACGGAATGAAACAACTCTCAACGTGGCCTTCAAACAACCAACACCCAAGCAATGACAAAAAGGGGGAAAAAAGTCACTGGGACCGTCCACCAAATGGATGTCTCTTAGAAATACAGAGATCCCAGAAACTGGCTGGTTCCTTTTGGGTTTCCCTTTTCAACCATCCAACAGTGGGTGCTAGACCTATTCCGAGACCATCTTCCTTTGGGTACCTTTTGGGGTTGTTTTGAATGGCAAAAGAGCAACTTGAATGGAATCCACCAGTGTCACCAATGTCTGAGTTCCCCCAGTCGTGTACGACTCTGAATTGGAACCATCTGGACATCATTTGGGTGGGATTCATGTCCACCAACCAATTGTTTGTTGGTGTTCCCTATTAAAATTCACAGCCATTTGGAGACAGGCTGAGTTCAACGGCTGGGTCAAAAGGTACCCATTTTGGGAACCCTGGTAAATGGACCTGCAGTCCCCTGGTTTGATTTTGGCCCGCTCCCGAATGGGAAACCACCTATTCTGAAATCCCCCCCAGTCGGCCCACATCGCTTTGCCCAGGCGCCCGTTCACATCCTCCAGCCTCAGCCGCAGCCAGGGGCGGTTTTCCGCCTGGTGCAGCACGCCACGCACCACCCGGCCGCGCACCAACACCTCGGGTCATACAGCCATGGGTCAAAACCTCGTACCCCCAGTGAAGATTCCAATCCCCACTTAAATAGACTAAAATGGGTAGTGCACCCAAAAAAAAACAAAATGGTACCATTGGTTTTGAACCATGGCCATATCAAAACCATGTCCAGTTTCCCTGGAAGGTGTTGACATGTGATGAATGAGTCTGGATGAGAAACAAAAACAAGCTTCACACATTGCCATGGAAGGGTTTGGAAGACCGTTTGAGGGCTGCAAATTGAAAAACCCAGGTCCAGGTCCGGTTGGTTTCCCCCTAAGAAATTCATCCAAAAAGATGGAGGGTCCCTGTCCTTCAGGAATCTACCGAGTCAAAGGAGTCAAAGGAACAAAAAATTCCACCTCCGGTTCACGGCTGGGATCCCCCAATTGCTACTTGATGTAAATTTCGGAAAGCAAAGAAACCCCCTCCAACACAGTTGAAGCCTTCCATTTGGTTAAGACTCCTGGAAAACCGGCCCCTTTTGTGGGGTGGCCGCCGTGTGAGGCACATGTGTTTCAAATGCTCCTGTCTTCCCCAAAAAAAAACGACTCTCCCACTTCCGGAAGTTTGAGGGACCAGAGTGTCCACCAGTGATCTAAACCCAAGCACTGGGCGTTGGCAGGGCCCCGCCAACCGCCAACCGCCAACCGCCCACCGCCCCGCCGCCGTCTCCGCGTCTCCCGCTGAGGGCGCTCCGAGGACCTCGGCCTCGAGGGAGCAGTGGGCCCTGAGCGCCACCCGGTCGAAGGCCACCACCCACTCGCTGGCCGCGCCTGCGGGGGGTGGGGGCGGGTGGAGAGGGGGGGTGAATTGGGGGGGGGAGAGATGAGGGGGACATTGAGAGGGAAAATCAGGGGCAAGAGGAACTGGAGATTGCTGGTGGTGGGGGTGAGAGGGAGGTGAAAGAGAAAACAGGTGGACCAACCAGGTGGAACTGGGTGGGGTTGAAGCCAGGTGGAAAACCCGGGTAAATCCATTGAGAAACTGGATGCACTGGTGGCCGCGGCGTCCCAGGATCAAAAGGAGATGGAGTTGGAATCCTTTGGATTGGCAGAGGTTTTTCCACACATGGCTGTGGGTTAAAAACAGATACCCAAAATGGAACCTTGGTAAATGGAAACATGGACTAAGACCTGCGGTCCCCTGGTGAATTAATTTTGACCCACACCCACATGGTATTGTCATGGCAATGGCAATGGTCGTCTGACGCCTTTTGCCGGGGATATAATCGTCATCATCCATGCTGAAGGAGCTGCCAACGGATGCTTGGCCTATGTGGGTTTAGCTTTCAGCAGTATATCCTCAGCTCTATTCCTAGTGTCACCAAAGAGAAGCAAGTAGCTACCGTACGCTTTCTCATTTGCGTTGAAGCGCAACTCCATGCCGGGATGATGCCCCTGGAGTCACGCTTTCTAGGGATCCTCTAGGGCGGCGATTTAGAATTCTGGAATGGAAGAGAATGTCCAAGAAGGCAGCACTCGGTTTTCCTGCAGTTTCCTGGCAAGATTTCTGGGCTCTTCGAATGGGCGTTTTAGGATTTCTCTGCCTTAAGGCCGCAAACGAAGAAGGTCTCACGCGCGCCTTCGCTCTCGGCCTCGACGGGGACCTCATCGGGTCCTTACAAGAGATGCTCAGGCTGCAGATCCTGTTCATGCACTGACAACTGCACAAAACACAGTTTCCCACGCACAATGTGCGTCGGTGTGCGGGGTGTGCCTTGAATCTTGCATCTGCGTCATTCATGGCGCTCCTCGGCGTCTATCTGGGTATGAAATTCATTGGGGACCGAGTCACTTGCATGGGATGTTACGTTTCCGCCAACCACGCTTGAGGTGGTTCCCTACAAAAGATGCATACATAGGGCGTCGCCAAGCTGCCGCCCCCCTCCTGGCCTGCCACGCCCAGCTCCCGGCAGAGCGCCTCCAGTGCCTCGCGGCTGAACCTCGACGTCGGAGCCGTTTAGCAAGAGGTGCGAGCCGCGCTCAAACTCCCCATGAGAAAAAGTAAGTGGAACAGAGCCCGAGCGTTTTCTGTGTCTGTGATGAAATGTGTCGGTTGTTTGGCTTGAAGAAGGTGGTTCTGTGATGTGCTTGTTCGAACAGGAAAGCCCGTTGGGCTGAACATGGCAGGAAGGGAACACCCCTGTGCAAAAATGAACATCACATTTGAATGAATATCAAATCTTCAAGAGGGCTGCGATGACAGCTCTTTATCCGAACAAAGATGGAAAGAAAGGACTGTATAAAAAGGACCAAATTGCGAGTGAAGGAGGCAATGACCTTGCGGCGGAGCTCAAAAGCAAGCACAGCGTACATTGGAGTGTAGGTGTTTTTTTAAACTTCGGATTTGTCCGGAGGACAATGCCAAAACACAGGATGGTTCCACAGTCAGGAAGTGATATCTATAGGGGTTTCCTCTGATTCGGGTTCTCCGAAATCCAAAGCCAATGAGCAAGTCCCTGACTCAATGTCACCAGGCAGTCACTCTCACGCTTCCAACAAGCGCAGTACTGAAACCGGAACGAATGAAACCAGAGCCCCTACTATGGACCATTTGGTGTCTCAAAATCGCGGATTCGTTCAGTGGCTTCCTTTCAAACAATGCTCAAGACACATCAGGGACAAAAAATGTGCACCTCCGAAGACCGGCAAGATGTCTGACTCCATCAACCGAAGCCCGCAGCCCGAAGCCCGAAACCCGAAGCCCGAAGCCGGGCAGCGTCTTGCAGCCGGCCTGGCTCGTGGAAGCTTTCATGGACTGGAAGCCCTGCCCTTTCCAGCTTGCTAGCGCAAGTAACTTGCTGCTCAGGAAATAACTTTTCCAAATGGGCCAACTGTTGGTTTTGTTTGCTGGCGCGATAGGGAATGACCTTCCAGGTGTTGGGAATGAAAAAGCAGGGGATTCCCTTCAAGAAAGCCACAAAACTTGCTACTCGGGGTCATTCCCTCGTTTCGAGCACCAGCAAGACAACGGGCCTTTTAAGGACAGTCCGCAACCCTCTCTGCTTGCATCATTGGAAAGAGGGCAGCGTCTTCGACCAAACGGCACAGTAAGGTGGCTTATTGATGCTCACAAGCTTTTTGTGGCAGTGGATTTCGAGGGGCAGTCTTAAACTCTGTGGTCCGTTTCCCAAGGAGAATGGTTGGGTTTCAGTCTTTAGGGCAATGAAAGAATGGAGATAGGGAAAGGCCACCGTGTGCTCTGGGCTGCCCGCATCCTCCTCCACAATCCAGCCCATCTTCAACGCCTGTGCCTTGATGACTCCGTCGTTTTGGACCTTGGTGATCCGACCAAACAGCTCCGTCAGCACCCCCTGGAAGAGCACGACCCTCATGGGTTGCGACAGACTGGCCGGCTCCTTCTGCGCTTTCCACGTCTGCGACAGCTCCCACAGAACCTTGACGACCGAGCCCTCGCCGTCAGTTTTGAAGCAGGGCAAGAACGTTGTGTCCTGTCGTTGAATGCTTTGTTGATCTTTGTGCTGAAGGGCGAGTCGCCCAAGCATTTTGCAAAAGCTTCTGAGGTTGGGGTCCGCCTCCGTGTCGCCCCGCCCCGCTTCCTTGGCACTGCGCTTGGCACTGCTCTTGTTGACGTCTCTGCCATGGCCATTGCCGCTTCAGGGGAGCAAGCCCATTCAGCAGCGGGACATGAACCAGCGGCTGATTCAAATGCCCCTTCCTCAACAGGTTCCATGCCACGCGCCCCCTGGCAGCCGAACATGCGGGGCCGACGCTGGCCTTTCTTCTGGAGATTGGCCAGCTCTGCTCGAATTCCGTTTGGCTTTTCGTCGGGGCCACCATGCGGCACGACAAGATTCAGCGCTCGCCACTGGCCACGCAAATCCAGCAGGTTCTGGACAAGATCTAGCTTACCTGGGCGCTGCACGCAGGCCAGCGCCTGTGAAATTAGAGAATCCTCACAACGTTTGCTACATCGATGCATGCGTTCATTCTTGGTTTTGGGCAGGACAGCTGGCGGGTGTCTCGCAGCGCGTCATATACGGCAGGCTGCAGTCTTGTTTTCAGAATTTGCACAATGCTCGAGAGAATGAGTCCTTTTACGGCGTGGGCGGGGATACTGCGCCAGTGGCCTAACCTCTCGCGCCAGCATGATGCCGCAGAGTTTCTCACCTTCCTTTTGAGTTTTGCTTGGCCTGACGCTTTCAATGGACAGCGATTCTCGGATGCTCAGGGTGTGCATGGACAGGATTTCGGTGCAGCGTTTTACCCTGTGCCCATGCTTTTACACGGCCACACAGTGCAGAGCTGCATTGAAGCCAATTGAAGCGTGGCATTCCCAAGCATTCTTTTGCATGCGTTCCTCGGGCCTACGCGATACACTCAGACGGATGAAGGCGTGGAAAAGTCAGCTCATCACATTGACATTCAGGCTGGAGAGTTGGTGCAGCTGCCAGTTTTCCGCCGCGAGGACCTTGAATGTGGCTGGCATTTGTATCGTGTTTTGTCAGTGATATGTCATTCTGGGTGTTCTCTTTGCGCAGGACATTATCTGACCTTGCTGAGTGCCGATGATAGCCGTCTTCCCCAGCAATCCACACCGGCACAGACAGCAACCCTGCCATCCATTTGCTACCTAGTTTGCCTTGCTGGGGAGTTTTGATTCACACACCTCCTGATCGATTCAGCACATGATCCAGCATTGCATTTTGTTATTTACATTTGCTTGTCAATGGGACCAATGCGAATGCACTGACTTGATAGTATTTTCGTCTTCGCCCAGCATATGCATGATTCCTAGTGAGTGGCTGCCCATGCTTCGTTTGGGGTTGCAGACTGCGTGGGTATTCTGTTTGGCCTTCGGATGCTTTTCTATGTTTCAATGACCGGGCTGTGAGTGTCGGGGGCTTTGCACGCCTGTATAGCCTTTTGTGCTGTTGGTACTTGCTGTAGTTCGCTACGAAGTACCATGTGCCTTCAGGTAGTTAGCTACGAGGCACACATGCAAAGAGATGCACAGCAGCAGCCTTTGAGCTGCCGGGCACGATTGTGCTTGTCTCAAGAACGCTAGGCGTCATTGGCGCTGCGTATGGAAAGGAAAAATGAAAGAATGGACGGATTGGCAATGGGATTCGAAGTTCTTGCGCTCCCCGTCTGAAAAAGGACTCTCGCCAGCTAGTGAGGATATCATCGGCAATCAGCATCAAGCTAATGTCGACCCAATTTAATGAACCCTGGGTTTAGGGAATCAGACCACTTTCGGGCCAAAACCAGCCTAATGACCAAACCTGCCAAGCGCGTCCACTTGAACAGGCTGCCAGTCCTCTGGCCCGCCTGCTGCAGCTGCTGGTTCAACGTATCCTGGCGTGGAAGGCGCGAAACGCCTTGTGAGCTGCTCGGTGCGATATTGAATTCACGATGAGCCTAAAGCATGCCATCAAATGTGGCCTAGGCGACATGCGCGGAACCTAGGGTGTAGGAGGTAAGAGAAAATGTTGTCTTTAATTCTGCAAGGGTGGTTTCCCTTGGTCTTCTCTTTTACTGTTAGGTGAAAGCACTGGGAAACCTGCATATAGAAACCTTGGCTGATGGTGCCTCCCAGTCATTCACGCAGGAACCAAGGCATGTCACTTGGAGCGTTACCTCAGGTGACCCGTCCAGTCCATCCGCAAGAAATCACCTCATAACCCGGTCCTATGCCGACCCTCTTTGGTGCCCGGCCCTTCACCCCGAGGCTTCCCCGACGGGCGTGCAGGAAGCAAACCAGCAAACAAAAACTAACGAACGGACAAACAAACAAGCCAGTGAACAAAAAAGTCAAACTAGCAAACAACCAAACAACCGACCGATCGACCACCCAAACAACCAAGCAAACAAACAAACAAACAAACAAAAACACGCAGGCATGTTTTCAATGACCCCCACGAAGCTCTGGCAGGACAAAACGCGCCGTTTTTCCTAAGGAAACACTGACTGCGTTCCTAGCGCCATCAATTCACAAGCAATTTCCAATGGGAAGTTATGAAGATCGTGTTTTTGCCTCCAACAAAAACAAATTCCAAGGAAATCTGAAGCTCCCCGAGCATGATCCAAACCCTGATCGCAGAACGCCGGAGCGAAACGCATTTCTCGCTACTTGCTTGCCTGTGAAAAACAAAATGGTCTCTTCCTGTGCTCTCCCCCGCGTTGGGCAACTAATTTGAGCGCTGAAAGATGTGAGGTGTGGGGTGCAGTCTCCAGGTGCTCGTGAGCTGCGCATATCATGGGTGCAGTCCCAGCTGACAAGCCGGATGCTTCAGAGCCTGCACAATGAGGAGGCAGTGTTGGATGTTGCAACGCCAAAGCGTACGCGTCTTTGTAACAGCGGCGACTGCGCACTGGGGAGGCCCACCTTTGGACAACCGTTTTGCGGGGTCGGCATTGTATCAGCCTTGGTCCTACGTTGCGTTCGGCTGTCAGCAGCTTCTGGTGCAGTTTGAGGCTCCTGTCTTGAGGTTTTAAGGTTTTTGAGGTTGCATACCCACTCTCAAGTTGCTCCTGCCCCGGGTTAATGGGCATCCTGAGGTTTTGAGGTTTGTGGTTGTTGCTGCTGTTTAAAGGAACTTGAAGAATTCAAAAAGACTGTGGGGGTCCAGAGGTGTGGAGTCAAACCGAGATGACCGCGCTTTGTAAAAAACCGCAGAGGAGACAAGGCTGAACTCTCTTCCTGAGCGGATTGGCCACAAAAAGTCTAATTTTTTTTGTTTACCACCAAAATGGTCTGCCCAAAAAGCTGAAAGTCCAGGAACTCAGGGAGTGAGCGAAGGAAAAAAAGATGCTCACCGTGCTCCCGTGAGTGGGTGTGCTTCTCATTTGGCAGGTGGTGGGTACAGTCTTATGCGGGTGCATGCGGGTGCTCGTGAGCGGGTGTGCTTCTCGTCTTATCAGAAACAAAAAGCGTCCAACCTGCTGGCCAAAAACCCAAAAAGACCAATGTTGACCCCAAACTCGCTCACTCACTCAAGTTCGCACGGGGCCTCTGTGGGCGCAGCTGATTTATTGGGGCCTACGCTACGCAGCGTGTGTTCGTCGAATCCGACCGCTTGTGACCCAGCGGCCTCGCCTCCTGCAGCGCCTGCCTCAGCGCCGCCTTGTTTGCCAGGCCCAGCAGGCGAAGCTTCCGGGCCGCCCCGGAGAGCCTCGCGGGTCAGTGTCTCCCCGAGCTCCTTTTTTTTCCGAGGGAGGACCACTACACTACACATATGGACGCTAGATCCGTTCCTCCAAACTATGGCGTTGAGTGCTGCTTGTGCTCGGGCCCTTGAGGCTGCTTGCCAGGGCTTAAGCCTTGAATGGATATGTATCCATCCTGGTAAGGGCCCTTGCAACTGGGAGGCAGTGAACCCTTTCTTGCCAGTGGATAAGCCTTGAATGAGTAACCTGGTGAGGCCCTTGTAACTGGTTGGTGCTTTCGCTGGTGAGACTTGTAGAAAATGAGGGAACGAAACCTTTGCCTGCGGTTAACCCAACTGAGTTGGAACGGACCAAACCAACCAAACCTGCAGTTTGACATGGTTGGCATTCCCTACTAAGCACCAACAGGGCAAGCTTCAACCGGTTCCTTGCCGCACTCCTGGCGAAGCTAGTAGACTCCATGCTTCATCGCAAAATCTAGAGAGTTCCGTCTCGAAACAGTTTGGACACCCCACTGGTCAACGGCCCAAAAACAACTGGCAGGAACGGCCCAATTGCAGACGGACAAAATGTTAGAATTCGAACCTGCAGTCTCAAGAAAACTGCCTCAGACATGAAATGCTGGCCGCTTGGATGACCCCTGGATTTGGGGCCAAATCCACATCCATGCCATTTCCTCAACATATGGTCTGTTGGGGACTCCAAATAGCCACGGTGTCCTTCGGTTTCCTTTGATCGGCCGCCAACCTTTGAACCCAGGTTTTGAGACAAAGCAGAGGTATGTCTGGGGGCGGTAGAAGCAGTTGTATGATTGGCTTGCGATTGCCCAAGTTCCGGGTCGGGGGTCAAGGGCCGCCCACGCTTGCTTGCTTGCTTGCTTGCTTGCTTGCTTGCTTGCTTGCTTGCTTGCTTGCTTGCTTGCTTGATAGATTGGTTGGGTGGGTGAGTGCTTGGAAACCTGCGGACTACGTGCGGCCCTCGATCGCTCCCAGCTCGAGCGGCTCCCTTTCGCTCCACTTGGGCCGCGCGTTCTGCAGCAGCTCCTCCAGCGGCCCCTGGCAACGGGCGACCGAGGGCCGGTCCCAACAGTGGCCCGCAACGAAGAACCCGAGCCGCTGGGTTGCCGCTGAAATGGGCGTCCCAAGAAAGAAAGACTCCAGACACTGTTGGTGCGCTTAAAGGAAACAAGCGTGAGACTTTGCCATTTGGAGGTATCTCGGATTCTGACATAAACCCAAATAGAAAAGTGACAAAACAGAAGCCCTCCCTCCTGTATAGCTACAGATATGATACTTGATCATGTGCTTTTTGGCAGTGGCAAACACTGTAACAGCCTGTTTAGGAAGTTAGCAAGCAGCAAAACCAGACATGTTTGTTTTGTCTACCAAGCCCCAGGATGTCTCCTTTGCGGGGCTGATGGCTCATACTTAGCCTGTAAACGGTCTGTTGAGGCATCTTCCTGTAGGTTTTGAGGTGTATTTACTCAAGCCAATTAAACAAAAACACATAGTAGCATATCTAAACATATCGTTAAAAGCAATTAGGATAGGCAAGAACTTTCGCCATGTCAACCCCGGAAAGTATTTGACCTTGCAAACTCGTCCCCCAAGAGCAGTCCAGACTCCATCTAAAACGGGCCATCCCAGGCACAGCCTTTGGCTGGTTGCTGCTCCCCGGCCGCTGTGGGCACTGTGGATGAGCGACATTGTTTTTGTTGGTTTTTACAGAGGAATCATCAGAAACCAGGGCTTCTTAGGTGGGTTTTGTCCATCCGTGGTGCATGTTTGCAGCAGGTCAGCAGGTTATCAATCCTGGGTTCCTCTTAAGTACGTGAAAGAAGAGCGGAAATCCGCAAGGGCAACCCGTGTGAAGTCAGTGATATCAAAACCCCTGGGCCAGCCAAACACTGGGACATTCCAACGGTCTGGCTCGACTTTTGCAGAGCCCTGGATATGTGTCTCGTTGATCGCGTCTCTCCCGCCTCGTTCTTCTCCAAAGCATCCCAGTCGAAGGGTGAGCCCATTCAGAACGCCAGGCCGGGTGTGCGGCCGGAAAGGCCCCTCGAAAGAAATGCCACTGTACTAAAATCAGGGGAAGTGTTGCAGCGAAGTCACAGTTGTTACCAAGTCGCAGGCACTCCTAGGTTCAACGATTCAACTCGGAAGCAATACTAATAATGAGAATGACAATTATAATGAGAAAAAAAACTCTTGTTGCAATCTTCAGGCCACCAAAAACAGAAGGCACCAAAGAGATGAGTCAGTGAGCTGCCATGCCAAGCAATGGTAACAAAAACTGCCCGCTGAGCACCAGAAACCGACCCATCCATGGGAGCCAAGGACGAGCAAATCCGTTTGGCCTGGGAGAGACCCATTGGCGACATCGCAATGTCCACTGCAGACTCAGAGCCCCGCCCGGATAAATCAAAGCTGTTCGCCCCTCCAAGTTGGGTCGTCCAGTTCAATGGATTCCGCTGAATTGCACGGTCAATCTCCTTTCGAACTTTAAGTTTGTCATTGCTCGTGGCAGTCGTCCAGAAACAAAGGCCACCTTGTGCTGCCTGAATCCACCCTGCCCCTCCCATCCCTATCTGTCGGCCTGGTCCGATGCCTCCGAACTTGCATTTTCCAGCAAAGGCCACCACAACTCTGGCGACTCTGGTTCTCGTCAAAGCCCGTTGACCTTGGTCCCTGAGCTCAAACCACACCTGGCTGGATTCGACAATCCAACAAACCGACTCGTGTTTCGTGTTTTAGATATTGGGCATGGCGCCTGAGAGTCACCCCTAGTTCCAACCCTTTAAGTGCCAATGGGCCTCGCACCTTTTGCCTTGTGAACAATGCGCCGTGGTCGCAGAAAAACTCGCGAAGCTCCGCTCAAGCTGCATAGGAGCAGGAGACCGCGCCAGCAGTGGACCTCTGTTCCTTCAGATCAAAGGGAGTGACATCCTTTTACGAGCGACAGCATGGCGCCTGAATACGGCCTTTGCTTTGGCCCCAGTTCCACACTTGGCACTTGGCAGTTCTTGGCGCACGACGCCGGAGCTCCTGCCCCTTGCTCGCCAAGCCGTTCGGCTTGCGCGCGCGCACCGCGGCTGACATCGAAGCACTGGGCCGCTTGCAGTCTGAGCCTTGAAGGAACTCAGAGACTTGGCTGGACTTGCAACGCCTGTTCCCCCCCCCAAAGAAAACAAGAGGAAATTTTGGGGAAAAATGTTGGCCATTGTTTCCCTTCCTGACACGGAAAGGAGGACTTGCTGCCATGCCCCCAACATGGAGCTTCTCGCATGAGTAAGGGGCCTGAACATGCAAAAAAAAGGCTGGCCCCCACCTGTGTCAACGGAGACTTCAGGTTGGTCGCTACCGAGAGAGAAGCCAACTCGTTTTGATTCCACGCTCCCCACAAGCGGTGTCTCCGCCTATGGCCAAGCTCTCGCCAGCGATCTGCCCGGCCGAACATAAGGCCCATCTTGTGTCCATGGTTCTTCGCCAACCGAACTCCAGCTCAACCAGGGAAGGCAGGAGCTTCGGTGGCCCGTTGAAGTTCTGCTGAGCCTCTTCCAACGGCTTCCAAAAAAAAGCTAAGCGATGGCTTGCGGGGGCCTTCTTCTTTTTTCCCCGGCCAATTGTGAGCAGACTCCCTTCGCCGGAAACGGAGCTCGGGCCAGGCGCCGGGTGACACGAAGGCTCGGCTCAGGCCTGGCGCATCGTGACAGCCCAACCAGGTGACTTGGGAAGCTGGAACAAGCTTCTTGGCGGAATGAGCCGAAATGACCCCAAACGGAACTTTTCGTGGGGTTGAAATATGTTTGAGGGGATCCCCCTCGGACTCATTCCCGATCGAAACCACGGCACGGAAATGCTTCGGGTGTCGAGTAAGGTGCTCCGCGGGTACCAGCAGTCTTCAAGAAACGAGGAACCGGTTCGACGGCCCGATTGGGAGCAGACCCCAATCGACCGGTGCTAGGGAAATCCGAGAGATCTCACTGTGACAAGACCTGGAAAGATGCGAAAGTCCCTGCGAACATATGTCTATCTGTTTTTCCTGCATGGGTAAGCATACTTCCAGCATACACCTTGCACAATCCTATCAGATGTGCCAATGGTTAAGAATGTGTTCAGAACGTGTCTAGCTTCGCTTAACATGTCCAGTTCATGCTCGAGCTATCTTTCAAGCAAGGGGAGCGTATGGTGTGCTATTTTGGTAGGCTTAGCGTTCTCCGCGATCTTGTGCTATTATCTTATGCCCGGCCCGCAGAACCCCAAACCCGAAATCCAGGCCTCCTCGTCGGAGGAGTACTGCGGCCTTGGTACCAACTCTCGAAGCGGAGTCTATGCTCACTGGGAGACTGCTCAACGGGAAGCGGAAGAATGAGTGCTCTATGTGCTGGCGTGGAGGGTTGCCACAAAATTGCCAGCGCTTTTTCGTTCATCTCAGATGCTCCTGGCTCCAGTTCGACGCTAAAGCCCACTTCACCGGCAGTGATCTGTGGCCAAACCCAAAACCCGACCACCACCCCAAGCAGTGGCTCCCGGCTCGCCGGGAGCCAGGAGCCGATACGCGGAGACATTGTACCTGGCCCAGACGCTCTCTTGCTCAACTCCTCATCTCTTCAATCGATGAAAAACATCGACATGGGTCATTGCTGCT